ACAGGCACTGAAACAGACATTATGCCCTCTCTCTCACTTGTACAGACATCGTTCAGCTTTTAAAACTGTAGTCAATCAGTCTCACCACTTAGAATGATAGCAGTTTTCAAAACAGTTAAAATTTTGGGTTATCTCTTTGGTATCTGTTTTCATTTCCACCCCTTGCCTGCCTTTGCTTTATCGGTAATCAGGTTATTTCAGTCATTGGCTATCCACCTTCTGTTGATTTTGTTTTTCCCCCTGGTGCCTAAAGTCAGTTACAGCTTTTGTTGAGATTGCAGTTAAAAAAACCACAATACTTTAGACTTGTAATCTTGACACTTCCTTGAATCTTCTCCTCTGCTTCTGTGGATTGCTGATGATTGGAAAACTCTCTGCTGTAGGCCTTTCCAGTATTTATGTAATGATCACATGTCACTATTATGAAAGTACTAATCTTTTAAAAATATGTGCCTATACAGTGTACTTTAGATTACTTCTGTGACGCTGGAGGTGGGACAGACGTATAATAGGATTGAGAAGATATTTGCCCCCACAATTGTAGGGAAGCTGGGGAAGGCAGACTGTCCAGTTGTGGCTGCTTCCCAAGACAGCAACGGAGCAACCCCTAGAGCCTGGGCTGGGTGTGGCGATAAGGGTCAGGCTTGGGAGAGGCGAGAGTCAGCAGGGCCCGGGGCGAAGAAGTTGTGTAGCGCACAGTTGATGCGAGCCCCTCCAGGACCCTGCTAGCAATCTCAATACACTTCAGAGAAGCCAGACTGCAGTAGATTTATTTCTTGAAGCTTGCAAAGAGAAACACCCAGCAAAGGTGGGAAAAGAAACAGAGAGCTCTGAGGGAGTTAGGTTGGGAATTCATCAGTATGATACACGTCCTGAAGTCTTACAAATGATCGAACTGGGAGTTTGAGCCAAGTTTACCTGGGGCTCCAAGGTGCAGTGAGGCCCCCGCATGGTGTTTGAGATACAGGCTATTTAAATTTGCTCAGTTTTTAAAATAAAAATATGATAAAAGCCTGTGTTAAAAAGAGACTCGGCATGTAGCTTTGCTTCTGGCAGGAAGTGACAAAAGCTATGAAGGTGTTTGAGTGCTTTTGCTGAAAGCAAGCAGTTGATGCTTGGAGAAAGTATTTTAGCAGAGGGTTGGAATGGACTTCTGAAGTTAAGCATCTACTCACCTTTGAATGAATGGAAAGGTGCTAATTGTCCCAGTCTGTTTGGAAAAGGCTTAGTAGGAGAGAGAGACTTTGTGATGCCACAGCAGTGCCATTCATAACAGCGGTTAAGTGGCAAAAACGCACGGAATTTATTCAGAAATAAATTCCTGGTTTATTCCTGGTTCAGAAATTTATTCCTGGTTTCTTTTTTAGTTATGTTAACACTCCTTTTAGTATTTGGATTATTCTGCTGACAGTGGGATAAAAACCAGGCAGCTGGTGTTACAGCCCCGTACAAATGGAAAATGAGTTCATACTTGTCATTTGCACAGGACAGAAGTAATTAGGAGGCCTGTGGGAACCTCTTTTGTTCCTTTAATGTATTTGTACCCAAGGAAACTTGAGAAAACCCAATTCTGGTCGGATCTTAAATACGTTTTCTCCTTTCATTAAGTGATGGTAGTTAAAAAAAAAAAATTACATATCCCGTGACTGGATCTCTATTTGAAAAGAAAAAGAATATAGATGTTAACGTGAGGAATAGAATGAAAACCAATCTAAGAAAAGTTTGAGGGGACTTAATTTGTTTATATATTTTTTTCAAATGTTTTTATTTATTTTTGAGAGAGAGAGAGAGCACAAATGGGGGAAGGGCAGAAAGAGAGGGAGACACAGAATCTGAAGCAGGCTCTGAGCTTTCAGCACAGAGCCCAATGTGGGGCTCGAACCCACAAACCGGGAGATCATGACCTGAGCCCAAGTCAGACGCTTAACCAACTGAGCCACGCAGGCGCCCCGGGATTTACTGTATTTTTAAGATAGAATGCTTTTTTGTTTCTCCTCTGTTTCTGTAAATTTGGATTATATGTAATTAAATAACTTATTGAAAATTTGTCTTTTGGTTTGTAAATACCACCTGATTTGTGGATGCTCTTGCTAAAATGTTCAAGTATCAGTGTCACAAAATGGTCCTCACCAGCCACCATTTCTTGTCAGTGATAATGTCTAGTATGTCCTGGCACATGTAGAGCTTTTGTTGTTGGAAGGCACAGGATGGTGGAGTATAGATACTGAGGAAGGTGGTGGTGGGGAGAGGACCACATGTCCTGTACTCACTTTATCCTAATCATTTATCCTGATACAATGCAATCACAAGCAAAATTATTTTAAAATAAATGACCTGTGCATTATATTTTTGGATAATGCAGTGACCTTAAAAACACGTACGGTTATATAAGAAACTCTTTTTTTTAAGTTTATTTATTTATTTGGGGGTGGGGGAGGTAGGAGCTGGGGAGGGGCAGAGACTGAGGGAGAGAGAATCCCAAGCAGGCTCTGAGCTGTCAGCACAGAGCACAGCATGGGGCTCAATCTCACCACCGTGAGATCATGACCTGAGCTGAAATCAAGATTTGGATGCTTAACTGACTGAGCCACCCAGGCACCACACTATAAGAAACTCTTGATAGTGGTGGCCTCTGGGGAAGGGGATTGGGAACACGATGGGAGTGAGATTTTAGTTATCAGTGTGTGTCCATTTTGGTAACTTTTGGCATTTATACTATGTGTGTATATTATGTATGAAGAAAAGAAAAGAAAAAGGAAAAACCCTTCCCTTCTAAGCATTCCCATGTCCTGACAGGATGCTTGGTTTCCCACCCTGCCTGCAAGGATCTTCTGTGATTTCCTGGGCACCCCCTTCCCCCATTTTTTTTGCTTTTGAGGAATGCCCTTTCTGAATCCATTGACTTTGCTCCCTTATCTCTACTTGTGTAATCCCTGCCCCTTTCATGAAAGTCACCGAAGATGTCTTACCATGAAATGCAGTCCCCTCCTTTCAAACCTTGTTTGACCTTTCCCGGTCACTTGAGTCTTGTGCTCTCCTTCTAGCCTCTCTGCCACTGTTGCCTCCTGTTCCGTTTTGACACCCCCCTCCCTCCCCGCACTCCTTCTTCACAGCATCCTGGTTGTGATTTTATCTTCACCCACTTCGTTCTTTCTCCTGGAACAATTTCTTTTATGCTCTTGGGTGAAATCATTTGTGTCAGCAGGTGTGGCCTGTCTCTTCAGCTCTGTGTCTGCATGTCTCCTGGCCCACTAGGTATGTTTAGTTCCCCATTCCATAGGCACCTCAAAATCAAAATAGCCTGAACTTACTATCTCTTCCCTCGCCATCCAAATGCCCAATTTTTTCTACTTGCTGTATTTCATTAGTTAGCATTCCCCAAGCCAGAAACCTGGGAATTGTCTTAAGTTCCTTCCTCCACTTCACAAGGTTTTGGAATTATAGGCGGCCTTGCTGTAACATGCATATATTGGCTCTGTTTTCATCACACCCTTTCATCTTACAAATAAACTTCTAAACTGGGCAGCTTCCTTCCAGATGGACTTGGAATAAATTTCATGCATATAAATGTTCTTTCCTTATTAAAAGGTGGGAAGGATCCTTTTCCATTACTCATCTGCATTGACAATTTTGTGCTTATAAATCCATAGAAACCTCATTCCAGGGGCATTTCTGCATTTGAGGCTTAAGTTTGCTAATTTAGTTTTAATTTTTTTAAACGTTTATTTATTTTTGAGAGGGAGAGAGAGAGAGAGAGAGAGACAGAGCATGAGTGGGGGGAGGGGCAGAGAAAGAGGGAGACACAGAATCTGAAGCAGGCTCCAGGCTCTGAGCTGTCAGCACAGAGCCCAATGCAGGGCCCGAACCCACAGACTGTGAAATCATGACCTGAGCTGAAGTGGGATGCTCAACCGACTGAGCCACCCAGGCGCCCTATGCTAATTTAGTTTTAGATAAAACAAACAAACAAACAAACAAACAAAACAATTATAAAGCTTCACAGAATTTGTGGTTCATTGTTTTAGCACTTAGATTCTATCTTATGTGGTTGCCTATTCAGTCACTTAAAAAAATAAATAATATCTTCTGCACAATTAGAATGATCTCTAATATTGCCGTTATTTCTCGTGTGCTAAATATCGGTAGGTAGCTACTGGATAGTTGAAATTTAATGTATATCTATTATGTACTTTACATAGGTCATATCATTTAGTTTAATTCACCCAATAACTGAATGCAGAATGTGGAAGCTCAGAGACATTATTCAGTTTGCTTAGATGACACAGCTGTGGGGGTCGCTCCTTGCATTGGCCCCTCCTGAGATGCTTTAGTCATCATTTTATTTTTTTAAAGAAATTTTTTTTTCAACGTTTATTTATTTTTGGGACAGAGAGAGACAGAGCATGAACGGGGGAGGGGCAGAGAGAGAGGGAGACACAGAATCGGAAACAGGCTCCAGGCTCTTAGCCATCAGCCCAGAGCCCGACGCGGGGCTCGAACTCCCGGACCGCGAGATCGTGACCTGGCTGAAGTCGGACGCTTAACCGACTGCGCCACCCAGGCGCCCCTAGTCATCATTTTAAATGTAGCATGTACATCCCTGAAAGTAATAGAGTTAATAACTGGGTTTATGGGCATCTCCTCTTTATTGGGAGTTGATTTCCACACAGTGTGGTCCGGTTTGGGTGCCCGTTTATGATGGAAAAGTTTGCAGTACTTCCTTGCCATGGCCCTGCTTATCCATGGTCTTGGGGTGATGAAGAAGTAAGTGATAAAGGTGACGGCACTGTGATTTATGTGGAACTTAATTTCATAATTTTAATTATTGAAGGTGGTTTGAAGGCAACCCTCCAAAAATAGTTACCAAGAGATAATTATTTTTTGTTTTATGTGTTAATAATTTCTCTGCCTACCCAAACTTTTGATAAAAGGTGACTGTCATCTGAAGATTAGTATGGTCAGTAATTCATATTCTCACTTTCTCTTTTTGTTTCTCTCAGTGCAATGAAACCTCATTCTTTTTTGAAGCTCGAAGTAAAACGGCTTGCAAGCATCTTTGGAAGTGTAGTGTAGAACATCATACATTTTTCAGGTATGTTAATGTGAAAGTTTTGTGCATTGTTCTAATAAGTGAAAATTGCATTTGTTTTGATAACAAGTGTTCTTTTCTGTCTATAAGTAGAAATTTAGAAGTGTTTCTCTTCTATTAATTTTTTTCAGCCACCTAATTTTCTGGATCATATTAATACACACACACACACAGATACCTTCTTTGGTCCTACTATAAGAAAGGGTCAAGGACATTTACATATATATAAAATTCAGCTTTGGTATTGATGGAAATTAAATGTTCTATGGACATACTAAATTTGAAATGCCTGTTAGTCACCTAAGTAGAGGCGTGGAGCAGGCAGTTGGGTGTCCAGGGCTTATTGGAAAGACCAAAGCTGGCCATGTAAATTCACTAGGTATTTAAGGCAAAGGGGACTGGATGAGGTCATCAGTGGAAAAAATGAAGAAAGAGAACAGAAAGCCAAGGACTGAGCTGTAGGACCCTCCCAGCATGTAAAGTGCAGTAGAGCTAATGAAGGAGTATAAGACGGCCTAGCCAGTAGAGTGCATGGGAAAATGGAAAATAGAGAGGAAAATGCTATGCTGAATAAGAAGCCAGCAACTGCATTGCATGCTCCCAGGACATCAAGTAAGAGGAGGGTAGAGAGTTGACCACTGGATTATAGTGACACTTTGTTTCACATCCTTCTAGTGTAAAGATAAAACCAAATCCTATCAGGTAATATATTAAGCTTTATGTTTTGCTTTTTAAATTTAAAGTTAGATTAATTCTTCCCCTTATTCCTATTTGATGGAAGGAGCATGGAGCACTTCTCCCCAATAGCATGATGTTGGAGAAGCATTCTTATAAAATGACCTATGTCCTTTATAGAGTTTATATTAGTTGAGGGATGTGGCCCAGCAAGCCTGAGACATTGCCTCTAGTCCCATGGGGCCTGGGCCAGGGAGCTCCACATGGAAGGTGTCTGTTGAAGGTACCCTGGAATGGGAAGTCCTGGAATATAAAGAGAAGTAAAACACTACATCAGATCTGTCGTGAAAGCCATGGCATGGATATTTCAACATAGTGACACTATTCTTAATTTAAGTAGAGAAAGTAAGTTGATTCACAGCTGAAGCTTCCAAAGGGCAATGATCTATATAATAGCTTGCCGAAACTATGAACACTCTGATATTATACATACATAAAATCCTAGAGCATGATTGTATTTCAAATATTAGCTTAAAATAACTGGTAATTATTTCCTGCCAATATGTACAATAACTCAAATATTTCGACTAGCTGTGAAACAATGTTGCACTCTATTTTCTACATAGCTTTTGCTCAAGGGTTGTGTAAGTACCTGTATTTATGAAATCCTTATCTAATTTTCTTTTAAATACTTATTAGAATGCCAGAAAATGAATCAAATTCATTGTCAAGAAAACTCAGCAAGTTTGGATCCATGAGTTATAAGCACCGGTATAGGTAAATGGCATTTTTTCTTTGGGGAAGGGTATATACATGTGAATAAATAAATATTTAATTCAGCTGTCCACATACACACACACTAAAGTTTATGATTTAAAAATTTTTTTAAATTTTTCTGCCAGTGAATTTCAAAAACGTAACAGTTTATTAAAACTTTCTTGACAAAAACAGCCTATCTAGTATGTGTATTAGCTATGTTAAGTTTAGGACTTTTAGAATGTAGTACAGCTTATGATCTTCAGAAATTCATTTTGATACAATTACCACTTTATTGCTAATGATGTGATTATGAGACAAAGTAGATATCCTGAATTGTAGCTGAGTGGTGTTCTTAGAACCATTCAGTCAATCACCTGTTGTAACACAATGTGTACTTTATACTGTGGATCAAAGCGTGTTTCCTACAGCATAAAGCTTAAGTGTATAATGCTACAATTATGTCTAAACTTTACTGAGCAGTTACTAAGTACCATGTATTGTGCTAAATGTTTTCCATTTATTGCTTCATTGAATAATTCCTGTCTTTTTAATATTATCCCCCTTAATATGTGGGGAAAGTAAGGTTCAGAGACACAAGTCACTTTTCAAGGTAACCCAGCCAAGAAGCAGGAAAGTGGTCCCTTCCCTGGCAGTCTAACTCCAAAGCCCTTGCTTTGACTATTAGGCAAACCCTGAGCATGTTACAGGAAAAGCCTGATTGGGTCTTTTTCTAATACCAGCATTAAAAATGGGAACCTTCTGTGTTGTGAAAAAGAACTGTTTTGTTTCAATTCGTCTGTTAAGTGGAGAGCCTGTGATATGCGAGGCAAGATATTGGATTGGGTGCCCAGAGATATAGAGAATTGGATCTAACTACTTCTGCCTTTAGAGAGCTCCAGTGAAGCAGGTCCCAGGCCCTGTAAAACACAAGTAGGGTGCCCAAATGCCACTCTGGAAGTGGGATACTGTTCTCTCAGTTCCACTGGAGACGGCACTAAATGAAATTCTTACCTAGGAGACTTAAAGCCAAGTCATTGTTGGCAGGACAGTGGTATGCCAGATTTTAATTCCTCTTTTTCGACCCACTTTTTTTTGGTTCTGAATTTGAAACCAGAGATAATCAATAAAAGAGTGATTAATAGTGAATGTTCAGTGCGTTACCATTATGTATTACTCACTTGGGTTATTTGTTCATTTGATGCCCAAGACTTAACTGTTATTGTATTAGAGAGATATTCTTGGTATTTGAATGAAAATATTCATTGAAGGGCACGTGGGTGGCTCAGTCGGTTAAGCTTCCGACTTTGGCTCAGGTCATGATCTCACAACTCATGGGTTTGAGTCCTGTGTTGGGCTCTGTGCTGACAACTCGGAGCCTGGAGCCTGCTTCAGATTCTGTGTTTCCCTCCCTGTGCCCCTCCCCTCCCCCTCAAAAGAAACATTTAAAAAAAATTTTTAGGGGCGCCTGGGTGGCTCAGTAGGTTAAGCGTCTGACTTCGGCTCAGGTCATGATCTTGCGGTTCGTGAGTTCAAGCCCCGCGTCAGGCTCTGTGCTGACAGCTCAGAGCCTGGAGCCTGTTTCAGATTCTGTATCTCCCTCTCTCTCTCTGACCCTCCCCCGTTCATGCCCTCTCTCTGTCTCAAAAATAAATAAATGTAAAAAAAAAAAAATTAAAAAAAATTTTTTTTAATTAAAAAAAGAAAATATTCATTGATATCTAAAAATTTAACCTTCAGGTTACCAAGGTTCTTCCTTAGATAGTGATGTAGTTAAGGAAAGAGTATTTACTTTTGTATTGAGAAGAAGAGCTGATAGTATTTGGGCTGTTTTTCTAGTTGGGGCATAAAACATTGTGAGGTTTGTAGAGAGAATGTGTAAATCTATCTTCTTGTCACTGAAGTAAAGCTAGTGAAAAAGCATCTGTCAGTGTTCATGCTATTAAAATTGTAATTATGCTGTTTAACATATGCTGTAGTTGGTTTCCACAAATTTACCCATACCTGATTTCTTAAATTTATTGAAATGCAAATGTTGTGGCTACTGGGAATTATTATTAGAAAGTTATTGGGTTTTGCATATTAAATATCATTTCTTCCAAGAAAGTAATTAAAGGTAACCTTTGCAGAATTGGAAGCTCCACTAAATCTGTTCTAATTTTGTGGATGGTATTAACTCCCCAGTAAGTCGTAATGAAACCCAAATCTCCGTGTCTGTACGTAGGAAGCATTAACATTACCCCATCCCTGGAAGAAAGACGTTTCATCCCACTGCCCAGAGCTAGGCTCAGGCCCAGGTGGGTCTCTGACTGCTGGTGGTCACCAGCACGTGGACCGTTGATTGTCAAAAGTGGAAAAACAACCAGCCTTTAACACACGTCATATGCCTGCTCCTTTCTTGAGACTCCTTTCTGGAGGCCCCATGGGATACAAGCAGAGCCCTGGAAACACAGGCAGCCCCTCCTTCAGCCTTCAGGCTTTTGGGGCATGGGGGATAAGGGACCGCAGAACAGGTGGCTGTGGTTTGTGAGTGTGGGTGTCTGCCTGCTTTGTGTGTCTGCATTTCTGCTGGTGTGTGTGGGACGGAAGAAGAGTTCTTGTCTTTGCTCTCTTTCCTGCATCGTGGGGCTTACAGAACACCAAGAAGATTCCAACATCTCTTAGAAAAATGAATTACTAAGAAGGAAAAAAATTGACATTTTTAGTGATACATGACTGCCAGTTGTCTCAAAAGTTCAAAATTTGTGGGAAAACGGAGCTGAAATCAGTCTAGTTCTTTTGTTGTTGTTTTATTATCACATAGCAATAATTTAAAATAGATACTGATGAAGTATTTTGTGATACACTGGTATCTCTTTCTCTGAGCCCCTCAAAAACTTCTCGCAAAGGACAAGAGTGTGTGCGCCAGCGTGTGTGGAGGCAGGGAAGTGGTGATTATGGGGAAGAAGCTCTTTCTGGTCACTACGGAGAGCCACTAGACATGCATCAGAACTCTTATACTTTACATTGTAAATCTCTCTCTTCATCAAGTACTTTCTGCTGCAAGGAAATAGTAAGAATACTGTACAAGAATATTTCCGCTAGGAAATACTCTGAATAAGTATGTGTGTATGTGTGTGTGTGTATATATAAAATTATGATATAATTTTATTATAGTCATGAGTTGGACTCTCAATCTACTGAGCCACCCAGGCGCCTCAACTAGAAATATCTTTTAATTTTTTTCGTGTGTGTGTGGGGCACCTGGGTGGCTCAGTCCATTAAGCATCCGACTTTGGCTCAGAGTCATGATCTCGCGGTTCATGGGTTCAAGCCCCACATCAGGTCCTGTGCTGACAGCTCAGAGCCTGGAGCCTGCTTCGGATTCTGTGTCTCCCTCTTTCTCTCTCTCTCTCTGCCCCTCCCCTGCTTGTGCTCTGTCTCTCTCTCTCAAAAATAAATAAACATAAAAAAATACATATTTTAATGAGGAAAATGAGGCTCCAAGAGATTTTAAAAAGAATCTGCTGAAGACCACACAGTTATAGCAGAGCTGTGTTTTAAACTGGGCTGGTGGAGCACCTGGGTGGCTCAGTTGGTTAAGCATCCGACTTTGGCTTGGGTCAACATCTCACAGCTCATTGGTTTGAGCCCCACATCAGCCTCTGTGCTCACAGCTCAGAGCCTGGAGACTGCTTCAAATTCTGTGTCTCCCTCTTTATCTGCCCCTTCCCTGCTCATTTGCTCATGTGCTCGCTCTCTCTCAAAAATAAATAAACATTAAAAAAAAATTTTTTTTTAATTTAAACAAACTGGGCTTGTAACATCATACCAAATGGTTCAGTGTTCTTCCCTGTCTCCCAGGCCACCAGGCCATGTCACAACAACCAGCTGGAGGTCAGAAAGCTCATTCTAAGTCTTGGGTAGGCTGTGGCAGATCAGTTTATGTTTCTGGATCTTAGTTTTATTAATCTTGTAATATGATTTTCTCATTATCCTTTATTCCTGAGAGAGAAGCCATGAGGGAAAATTGAATGGTAAAGTAAAATCTCATTATAAAATGCCACAGTGGGTCCATATGCTGGGTTGTATTTTCAGGGCAAATATTTTTTCCTCTGCAATGAAGTATACAGTATCCAAGTCTTTCTGATAACAGAGCCTGTTGTAAGTAGCTCTTATCTTTATGCTTCAAATCATTTATAACAATGGAATTATGCTCTTTATATGGAATTTTGTTTTTTAGCCTTTTAGGAGTGAGATGTTGCTGTTTGTGCTATCTTATGTACTACCTTTAAAAAAAGGTTAAATTTCAAGTCAAAGAAAACCTGTCACAGGTTTTCTCCGATTCTCTATGCTGGTTCCCATCAACTCTTGAACATGAGGCACACACAGATGGAGCCTGCCATGGTAGCTCATATCAAGTGGTGTCCCTAGCTAGCCTGACGGGAGCCACTTTGATGAGTGTTTCTTTTTTTTTTTTTTAATTTTTTTTTTCAACGTTTATTTATTTTCGGGACAGAGAGAGACAGAGCATGAACGGGGGAGGGGCAGAGAGAGAGGGAGACACAGAATCGGAAACAGGCTCCAGGCTCTGAGCCATCAGCCCAGAGCCCGACGCGGGGCTCGAACTCACGGACCGTGAGATCATGACCTGGCTGAAGTCGGACGCTTAACCGACTGCGCCACCCAGGCGCCCCTTGATGAGTGTTTCAAGCATCTTTTTATTTCTAATAAAGGTAGATGGGGTAGTAAGAAGGGGGAACTTTCACAGAAGTGTGTAGGAGGTGAATTTTGCTTGTATAAGTCTCATCTCTTTATCCCATTTATCCTGTAAATGTAGGAGGAATAAGATTTGGGGCCATGAAATGGCCTTTTTCCTCCCATACATGGGCTCTTTTTGTGATGAATCAGACTAGACACACAAAAATTCATTTTTCCTGTACCTAAATGATATTTTCTTGTGTGAAAGTCAGAGTCATTCACTGGCTCAAATTCAGCAGCTGTGGAGTAATTTTTCAGTAAGATGAATGTTCACTGAAATCCAGCAAACAAAATCACACCAATCCCCAGGAAAATTATGTGAAGATTAGTCCATTCCCAGGGAAAGCTCACCTTGCATCCTCAGACTCTTTAGAGAGGCAGCACTTTGCGTGGGCTTTTGGCTTACTTTAAATCTTTCTGGGAACTTGATCTGGCACAGGTGAGGTGAGCATTAATAAATGGTTGTGCCACAGCAGGGTTCAGGGTAAAATCATACCAAGCCATCCTGTGGGGCATGCTTTACAACTTGCTGTGTAAGTACGACCTAGTGACATGTTGATTCATGTAGAATCGTTGCTATTGTATAATTTAGCCCAACGTAATTTATTATTTAGTTGTAGAGCTGGAAGACCATCAGTATCCTCTATTTCTAGCTCATTCTACTTAAATCTAAACCTAACCTCTTTAATAAATTTCTGCCTCTGAAAGATTGTCCTTCTATCTAACCTAAGACTCTCATATTAGAATTTAATATTACTGCCTTGGTTAATATTGCAATGAGAATCAATTGAAAACCCTTATATACTTAGGGTCTCTGTGACTCTGTGTTGTTTTTCTTCTCTGCATACTTTGTAGATATTGTGAATGAGCCGTGGTTTAATTTTGTGACTGTGTGGTTTTATCTGTGTTAACCAAAATGTTGCATTTCCAAGTGGCAGGACAGCATTGCAAATGAGTCGAGACCTTTCTATTCAACTTCCTCGGCCAGATCAGAATGTGGCACGAAGTCGAAGCAAGACTTACCCAAAGAGAATAGCACAAACACAGCCAGCTGGTGAGTCACTGATGTAACCTTGCATTTCCTTTTAGGGTGGTGGTGTAAGATAAGCTCAGGTGGTGACTATGGCCATGTAGTTTCATTTATTGTTAAGTAGGATTTTTAATTTGACCCTGAAACTGTCGAAGCAATTAGAAGTTACTATAAGTAACTTCAGGGTCAAATTAAAAATAGTAAGTTTTATATATAGTAAGTTACTATAAGTAATTGAGTAATTTCTTAGTTTGATGTATCTGAGATTGGAACTGAAACTCTTACCAAACGTCCTTTAAAAAAAGTAATAGTATTGATATAAATTAAACTATACAGAATTCAGTTGGATTTTTATTGTTGGTTTTTTATTGTGAAATATGTGTATAGACAAGTGTTTACAATGTACATACATGCATATGTATGTACACTTGCACATACACACACAAAATTTAATATAGCCTGTAATCCCAAAGTCCTTCCTATTAGCCTCATTATTTATATCTTCACCATCTCCCTTCCCAACCAGAGAAAATCCCCATCTAACTTTATGATAGTTATTTCCTTAATTTTTGTTAGAATTTTAATACTGTGCAGACTTCCCCAAACAAACAAGTTTATTTTTGCCTATTTTTAACATAATTTATATGAATGACCATGGCATACATTATTTGTGTCTTGCTTCCATCAGTGCTGTATGTATACTAAAGTGCATTCATTTTTCTTGCTGTGAGTATTCTGTTATGATATTCTCTTTATCCATTCTGTTTTTGATGGACAGCTGGGTTATTCAAATTTTTGTTTTAAATGAAGACTACTTCTGTAATAAAACCACCTAGTCAGTTTTAATCCATGTTCAATTCTCAGAACTCACAGAATTATTTTGTAAAGTGATGTTACTGAGTTTGGTTTATGTCTTACCTATAGGTCCCCCTTGTCTAACATGCTCCATGGACTTTTCTCATACTGTTTCACTTGAGTCTCACCATAGCCCTGTGAGGTAGGGCAAGGCACAGAGTATGTTCCCATTTTACAGATGAGGAAGACATAGTTCCAGCATCTAGAGAAGTGTGGGGCTGGAATAAGAGCCTAGATCTCCTGGTTTTTGTTTTTACCATATTGTGGCAAGTGAGGGGAATTTTTAATAACAGTAATTTCTATCTGAGCATTGCATGACAATTGACATAGCATTGTGACATCTGTTGTTTCATTTAATCCTTATGTCAAGCCTCTGAGGAAAGTGTTCTGCTCTACTGCTCCCCGTGTGAGAGTGTCACCTGACTTACTCTTTTGAAGCCCAATTAAATCTGAGTGTAGGTTCCCCCCATCACTGAGCTGGGAGGAAATTAATTTCTTTCTGTTGGTTCTGCAGTGGCAAAATAAGACATGAATTAACTTTGCAATAGGTTACTTTGCCACAGAAGTATTATCATTTTCCCTGTTTGGCTGATGAGGAAACTAAGAGTTAAAAGGACAAATTTGTCCAAGATTATATAATAAATAGGTAACTTAGGATAAAAATTTTACCTGTAATATTTAATATTTTTGTCTTAATAATTTCTATTTATCTTTGTATATGAGCAGTCTGAAATTCCATTTGGATCAAATACAACGTGGTACAATTAGCAAACTTTCAAATCCTATGCTGTTTCTGAATTGCTGTGCCTCATGAAATGAGTGAGACCAACTGAGACTATCAAAAGCATGTCTTGCTTCAAATTACCATTGCATTCTACTCAAGACGTGGGAATCATACATGCTTTGTTTACATACCTGCTCCCTTGCTCCTTTTCTTCTCATATCCTCTTACAAAGATAGTTGCCTCTGTGACACTTTTTGTATATGTGTGGGTGTGTGGCTCTCCTTGGAAGCCCAAATACTGAAGCTGATTAATTTAGGGACAAAGGTTTTTGGTTTTATTTTTGTTTTTCTCTTGGCGTTTGCAGAGAACAACCCCAGGGGATGATTTTGGACTTTCACACCCCTCATTCATCTTGTGTTGTATTAAAACACACTCTCTTCTTGGTAGGGGATAAGGGTGTGGTTAATGTACCACCCAGGCTTTTCAAGGACAGCCTCTCAGCATCTGGGAGACCTTTTTAAAATGTACCACATTATGCATTTATTATTATAAATGCCTGCCTGGTTCAATTGGTGGAGCATGTGACTCTTGATCTCAGGGTCCTGAGTTCAAGCCCCACGTTGGGTGTAGAGATTGCTTAAAAATACATACATGCATACACATTTGTTTTAGAAAAGTTAAGAAACTTAGAACCTTTCCTTCCAAAAGAAAAAAATCTTTCATATTCAATTCCATTCTCCTGATAGTTAACACTTATTACGTAGCTTTCTAGTTGTTTGTATATCTTTTCTGCAAAAGCAATATAGTAGTCTTTTACAATCTGCTTTTCTTATTTAATAATATGTCACGGATATATTTTAATAAGTTTCTAAATGTTCTTAGCACCATTTTAGCATCTATATAATTTTCTGTTACACAGATGGATAGACATATAATTTATTCAACCAATCTTTAGTTCTTAGATGGTTTAAGCTGTTTGAAATTTTGAAGAATATAAATATAACTAAAGTGAATCTCCATGGAGTGATAGCTTTAAACATCCATGCTAATTTATTACATGTATTTTAAACAATGGTTCATTTTCATCATTTTTAACATAAAAAGGATTAAACAATGCTGTGTTTAGAAACTAAGTCAGACTTTGCTGTGTACACATTTCACTTTGATTTTGAATTACTTTTAGTCTGACTTTTCAAGTCTGGATTCCACAAAACTGCGATGTGTTCTGGGATCCAGAGATGGACCCTCCCTTTGACTGTGTGACTGTCTTGGGTAGGGAAGGATCACTTCGCAAATGCCTATGGTGAGGTGTCACAGTTGCTGTCACACATATAGGGAGAATGTGGTGGAGGCAGAGATTAATGTTTTTTTGCTTTCTCAAATCTTCCATTTTCTCTTTCCTCTAATTCAAATGTACTTTACTGGGAGCCTCAGCTGAACCCAGCTGGTGGTGACCCAGTCTCAGCCATGCCCTACTTCTCAGGTCATGGTGGGGTTCAGACTTGGAGCAGAATATTTGAAGAGGGTCCTCTTGTCTTCATCTACATTAGTCACTGCTGTGCTCCTTGTTCTAGCCAGGCCCCAAGAAGGTGGGCAGTTCTATGCGAAGCTGGGCTGGGATGTGTGTGTGAGAGGGAGGGGTCTTTGGCTTGGCGTGCCTGAGAGCCTGCTGTGCTTAGGGTCAAGCCTGCGCAGAGACCTCACTGGCAGTCCTCCGTGAAGTTTCTGCTGCCTGGGGGAGGGGATGCTTCAGAGAGTGTCTGCAGGTCACTAGGTCAGGTCGCTGTAACCCTCTGGCCTCTGTCCCCTTCCCCACCATCGCAGGCAGTTTCTCCAGCCTGTTACTTTTTCTTCCCACACCCCCAGCTTGCTCAGAGCACCCTCTCCCTCGGAAGCTCCCTATTCCTGAGGCCCATTCATGGGTGGCTGGGCCGGAAAGGAACAATAGGTCTTGTCTTTTTTAAAATTACTTTTTACTGACCAAAGGGGAAAAAAATATTACTTTACTAAATTACGACGCCACAGTTACTTAAATTTTCATTTACAAATTTTGACCGTTAAATTTTGATCAACAGAAAACTGATTTTGAGATGTAGAAGAGATTGATTAGATTGTACTGTATTTGACAAAAAGGAGTTATGGTTTATTTATTTATTTAAAAGTTTTATTTAGAGCTATGTCTACATCCAACCTGGGGCTTGAACTCATGATTCTGAAATCAAGAGCCAGATGCTCTACTGACTGAGCCAGCCAGGCGTGCCTGGAGTTATGGTTTAAATAAAAGATAGATTTTCTCTTTCTACTCCAAACAGGCCAGCTATTAATTTTCATAGATTAAATTCTGCTGATATTCTCCCTAAAACAAAATTTTAGAACTATAGTTTCAGGAGTTATTGGCATAGATTCTCACCTCATTTAACACATATAATAATAATTTAAAAAAACTAATTGTGGTAGGAGGCTTTCATTTTTTGTTAGTTTATAACATTAATGGATGGTGCATGACTCATTACTATAGAAGACATTCTTTTATTTAAGTTAAAATACTTCAGACAAACTCAGTGATTTCTCCCCTTAACTTGCATCTTGGTTGTCTGGAGATTTGAAGCACTTTTTTTTTTTTTTCCCACCTCTCAGTCACAAATAATAAATGCCGTGGTAGCTAAAAAGCCATTGTGTTTAGAATCCGCCAAGATTAGGCCTTGGCACCTCTATGAGGAAGTGCATTCCGGAGTCAAGAGCCCTGCACCCAGCCTGCCTGCTGCTCCACCCCAGGAGCTCAGCGCCAGGGCAGGGAGCCAGAGCATTCCTGCAGATCTGCATGGCCTCAGAGGGAGCTTGGGGGTAAAGCAGGAGGCGAGAGGTCAGGAAGGAAAAGTGCATGTTTGTACAGCCCTTTTTCTGACAAGGTCTTGGCAACCCACATAGGTGGGTTCCTGTCAGAAGAGAATCAGCTATAGGTAGGCAGTACAGACAATATCTGGCTATAACTCATAATTAGCTGTAAGAAAAGTACTGGGTGAAGAAACCTATCCATTTGCAATGGATAAACAATGCTGTGATTGTCTGATACGGCATTTTAGGTTCTTAACGGCACCACACTGACGAACAGAGAAATAAATAGTTGCAGTGTAGCCTTCAGACGACTGAAAAGCAAGATCCGGTGACATTTTGGCATTCTCACTCAGCATCTGTGGGAAACGCTGCAAACACAATGCCTGGGGGTGATGAAAATGACTTTTGAACGAGGTTGGTTTGTGCTAGTCTGCAAGTAGACAGCTACTGCTCAGGCCAAGCCACTTGTTTCTGTGCAGGGGAGTGGACCCAGAGTTGCCAAACTTCCAGTGTTTTAAGGGAAGCATAATATGTGGATATTTATGTAAACTTTCCAGAATTTTGAATAGTGGCAATTTCATTTTAAAGATAGTCTTTTGTGTGCTAAATT